ATTTTCTGTAGGCGGCCAAAAGAGGGAGAAAAGAGGAAAAGGAAAACAAAAACAAATAGGTAGAGCAAAGTGGGAGGGGGGAAAAAGACATAATTAAGGTACACCGTGAGCTGCCTTTGCCTCTGTTCTTTGTCTTCTGTCTTTCTTGCGAATGCACTCTTAAACCACCAGTTTCTCCACGTTTTTCGGCAGTTAACACGGTGCACCGCGCGGGTCCATATGCATTTGCATCAGAGGGGGCCCAGAGGGGGCCTAAGACCCCCTGAGGTACTGTACCTTGCAGCTCTCTGACGATATGCAGGGGAAACAGCACCAACTTGTGTCTGTAAAAGTGGCAAACTTGCAAGTCGGGAGTTACTGCTAGGCTTGAAGAGTCCACCCTCGATGGAGGTAATCATGGGTCTGTCTGTGGATCACCGCCAGGTTCGTATCCAGAATGGACCTCGACATGTACATGCCCACGTGGATGGTGGACATCCGTGCATGCAGATGGCACAGCGCGTTCTGACAGAGCCACATTCCACGTTCAGATCCTGTGCTGGGTTACCATCATTTTTTTGTTTTTTTTCCCTTCTCTATTTTTCAAAGGCGACGTTCTTGAGGTACCGCTGAGTAGCCCCAGGCAATTCACAGCCCTTTCAATCTTGAGGTCTGTTCCCCAGCAGCCATATGCGTGTTGCCATTCAGCTACATGGGCTGGGTGCGTTACCTTTTCCACTTTGTTCCTTGTTTGATGTACCTATTGGAAGTCAGAGGACCCATAGTACCTGCCTAACCCGAAAGGGACCTAGTAATAGGAAAGCACTGACAATCTCCAAAGCACAGGGCTCCAGACATGGCCCTCAGTACACCAAACAGTGAGGTCTTGCCCACCTAGATTTTTCGTTTATGGTCATTCATCTTTGAAATCAACGGTCAGGAATGACAAATCCTGGCAAGTGGAACCTCTTCCCTCAGGTGATTCCCCGTTACCCGGTGGATTCCTTTACTCAACCTGGACCGCAGATTGCAAGGGTCAGCAGAGGGAAAAACAGAATCCACAAATGTGGGACCTTGTCCCAGAATTTCGGGACTGTAGCTATGATTCTAGGACTAGCGATCTGCATGAAAAGTGCAAAAAGAGGAAAAACACGTAGTTGTGGCTGGAAACAGGGGGAAAAAAAAAAAAAACTGAAGCAACAGACATCTCGCATCCGTCCTGAAAAAGTGGATGAGATGCCGTAAGCGTGGCAGGCATGTGAACATGCATTAAGCGGTGGATGATAACACCGTCATCAGGAACCATGCATCGTGCTCCACACCTGAACCAGGTTCAGTTTAAGGCTGAGGCATTGAAGACAAAGGCATTCCAGCAACATGGTTCAAAACGTCTGAACTGGAGGATGGCAATACCATCGTCAGGAACCGTGAACCTTGCTACACACCCGAACCAGGTTCAGTTCAACGCTGAGGCCTTGATACAAATACCTGAGGCCTTGGTACGAAAACAGTATGGCAGATGATAACATCATCGTCGGGAACCATGATGTGGCAAGGGCCATATCTTTTCAACAGTGCTAGAAGCTAACGATGGCCCTAGATTCTCTACATCAACGGCTCCAATGATGATGTGTGCCCTTCTGGTGCAGTGGAACGAAGCCCGTTTCTTTCCATTCTTTAAACGGGTGAAAACCCTTACCATTTATGCATTCATCTAACCCTTACCATTTAATATATTCATCATGTACGCAGGATTCGAACTCATCACCTGTTTATCAACGGTTACATGTGTGCGCCATTCTGCCACATGGGCTGGGCACAAAGCCCATATTTCAGTTAAATTGGTCCTTCACTGTTTTTCTATTGTACTTTTATTTTCCTAATTGGGCCTTCAACACAGCACAATCATATAAAGACCCGAACCCGGAAAATGTAAGGGCATAGTCAGACAAGAACTTCTGCCGATCTATCCGACCCAACTTACGCCTAGATTCAGTCAAAAAAGTGCACGCGTGAGAACGTCTTATGGAATCTATCTGACCACAAATAAGGCCAGATTCTGTCAAAAAGGTTTAAACTTTAAAGTGTGAACTTGCCCTAATAATGGGATTTACCTGACCGCACTTACGGCCCTGTTCTGTCCGAAAAGTACACTGCGAGTATGTCCTAAGGCACTTCTGTTCAAGGGCCCGGCCGAATTATGAGTTCAAATGCACGAACCGGGGGCAAACAAGTGTGCGAGAGGACGACAGAGCAACGGATGAGAGAGATCGTTCGGACAACAGTAAGATAAGATGTTCCTTTTCTATCTTTTTCTTTTTTGTCCTTTTCTTCAGAAACATCAGCTGGGTGGCCGATGTTCTTACTGTCGCCTTTGCCAGAACATGGCATGCCCCCGGGTTGAAATCTGAGGACCACCACAAACAAAGAAAAAGTTAAAAAATCAAAAAATATATATATATGAGGACCCCAGCCTCCCACTTACGGATTTTGGTATAAATTAAAAGGAATGTGGCGTGCAGTAGTAAGGGCAGGATTGGGTTCTTCCGCCAGCCACCTCATTACGCCCCCTAATGACACGCGTTCACCGTGACGAGAGAACTCGCTGTAAAATTAAAAGGAAAAAAAGAAACAAATTGTTTGCCGAGATGGAGTGACAGCTGGAAGACCGCTGCAGACCGGTGTGAGCTTCCCCGTACCGCAGATTAACTTTGCTCTTACAGTCAGGCCCACGTGCAGGTAGATCTGCCCACATACACGCTGAGACAGACATGCAGGGGTTGATCTAAGTTCAATGCACAAACCCAGAGATGTCCTTTGGGACGTCCTATAAAATTGGACCGATACAGAGAAGATTGGCATGGCCCTCGTGTGAGATGACACGCACACACACACCGAAAAAAAAAGACGGGGGGGGGGGGGCGAGGGGAGGGACATGCACAGAAGGATGGAACACAAAGAATAGTAAATCTATATTCGATACTTGCCTTGCCTCGCAATGGCGAATCTGCACTCGAGCAGGGCTTGATGTGCGATTGATCTATCCTCCGATTCCAACACTTCATGGTTTTATCTGCGCTGGAGCGGGGCTTTGCTTCATGATGTTCGATTGATCTATCCTCCGATTCCGACGCTTCATGGTTTTTGTTTTTTCCATGTATCATATCGTGACGCGAGACTTGGGGGTCTTCTTCCAAATATCAATCTTCCATCCGCCAACATGTCTTCCCCCCGACAACCCTGTTCCCCAACTAGGCCTGCCGAGCACTCTCCTGCTCTCTCTCTCTCTCTCTCTCTCTCTCTCTCTCTCTCTCCCCATGCATGTAGATATAGATTGGGCAGCTGTCAACGACCATATAATACATATCTATATATCGGCATAAAGATTATATATATTGTGGAATAGTTATGATAACTATTTTAACTAGAAGAGCGCACTTCGCTAAACAAATGAAGAAAAGAGCAGACGCACGCTGAGACCATTCTTTCTGCCACTTCTGCGCAGTTGTTCTTTTCTCTCCCTCTTCTGGCTTTTTTCACGGTCTCCCCTTTATTTCCTCTTTCAGCTCTTCGGCATAAGTCACTTCCAAAAATAATAACACCTTATTGTTTCGAGAAACACCAAGTACTCTTTCGTAAGGAAAAATAGCATGTTCAATGTTCATTGCATTATCCAATGAATTTTCGATCCTAATCAATATAGACAGAGATACAGGGAACGATAACAAAAACAGGGGGAGAGAGATCTTTCTTCACCCATGTTTTTTTCTTCTTTCTTGTGTTAGCAAAGACAGAGAGGGGAGGAGGAAGGGGGGGGGGGGGGGGGGAGGGAAAGAGACAGAGGGAGATTTCCTCAGGTGCATAGAAAGAGGTACCACTTGGACTGAATTTGTCTCGGCGGCAAGGGGACAGAGAGAGAGAGAGAGACAAACGAAGAGGGAGATTTCTTCAGATGCAACAAATAGGTACCATTTCGATGGAACTTGTTTTGTGGGTGGGGGAGGGGGTAGAGAGACACACACGAAGAGAGGAAGATTTCTTCTGATGCATAAAAACAGGCACACTTCGACTGAACTTGTATTGAGCATTCCGCTCTCACTTCCGTTTCCAACGTCCTTCAATTTTCGACTCCCAGGTGCGCAATGCATCTGCGGAACACTCACTACATATACACGTGGTTCTTCACAAAGACGTCCCTGCACGGTCCACCTTCCCACACAGTTGGTCCGATATTCAGGGCCTCATTCCCCCACTGGCCAAATGAGAGAGAGAACTGGCGAGTGTACCTTTGCTGCAAGATACATTCATCATCTTTCACATGTTTTGGCGAGTGGTAGAACGAGGCCCTCGCCTCAATCGCCAGGCTGCACCCCCGACAGCGAGAATCGCTGGCCAAGCTGAGCCAAACCCCAGTTTCAGCAAAACATATAAGTCACACCAGCCCACTGTCAGCACGCGGGCGCATGCACAGAGACACACTCACAACAGTTGCACTTAGACAAACGCATGCAGAGAGACAGACACAAAGAGAAAACACAGACAACCACGCGCACACAAACGTGCACGCACAAGTTGGGACGTTCTCAGTAACCCAGACAGTAAACTGTTACGGAGTGTGTATGCATCAGGTGACATCTCTCCAAAGCAGCAGTTGACCAGCTTGCTTCTGAGAGAGACATCATCTGACCCAGACAGACGCAATCTTCCTCGAAACGTGAATTGGGAAGCGTGAGGGTACATATAAAATGAAAAAACGAGAAAAGAACAAGCACTGTCACTTTCCAAGTGGGATTACGAGTGACGGATGCACAGATATACTGTATGTAGCACAGAGAGAGACAGAGAGGAGAAAGAGACGAGCAGCAGATGTACAGATATTGAAAGCCGCAAAGAGAGAGAGAGAGAGAGAGAGAGAGAGAGAGAGAGAGAGAGAGAGAGAGAGAGCAATGGAAGCACAGATATCGTATGCCACAAAGAGAGAGAGAGAGGGGGTGGGGAGGGAGGGGGTTGAAAAAAAATACCTTTGGGAGGAAAGCGGCCCTTATGCTTGCCAAGAGCTCAGGGGAGAACCCCCGAAGAGGGGGACAGAGCCGGCGAGGTAGCGACTTCTTCAAGGCCTCCAGCTCCATATCCGCTCGCTGTAATGTGGTCTCTACCTGCTTGATGATCATATTTAGCCTGCGGAGAATCACTGTCGGTGATTCCTGGGAGGGTGGAGGAGCAGCAGCCGTCGCAGCCTCAAAGCCTCTTTCTCTCTCTATATCTCCAGCAAGTCGCTGCTGCTGCTGCTGCTGCTGCTGCCTGTGGCTTCTCTCCTTCTGCAAATTGTCATCTCCCTCTTCTGCCGTTCTGCAATCTGAGGGGCGTTCTCGACAGTCCACGTCACCTCCCCCTGCTCCTCCTCCTCCCCCTTCTGGTGCTGCTCCTGGGGCTGCCATTGGAGCCTGAACAAACAGAGGGTTGATGCTCCACCTCCTCCTCTCTGCCCGCAGGTCAAATTCCGGCGGGTCATCAAGCAGAAGCGCGTCCACTGACCTATCGCTGAACGACTGATAAGCTGCCGCCGACCCGTCGAAGGACCCTTCTACACTAGCCGAGGTGATAGACGACACCGAGCACCTTGGACACAACCCCCCCTGCTGGTCCTGCTTCTGAAGGTGGTACCCGTTGCGTCCAGCCATTCCGTCAGCACCGCTAGCCTCCTTCTCCAACAGCTTTTGCTGCTGCAGCAACAGCCACGCCTGGTATCCCGATCCCGACGCTGGAGCCAGACGCAGCCCTAGACCCAGTCCCACAACGACTCCCAGTCCGAAGCTAAGTCCCAACATCATTCCCGCCGATTCCGCCATATCTCCCACAACTATGCTTCCCGTTCCTTCACCGAGATCGGCAAATTCTCCTCCTCCTCCTCCTCCTCCTCCTTCGTCTTCCTCCTTCCTATCCTCCTAGTAGGTGTGCTGATTATTATAGTGACGGCAGCTCTCTCTTCCGCTATTAACTGCTTGCTCTGATGTTCGCCCCTATTTCCAAAGAGTTCAACTCAGAACGATTCTACCTAGATCTTATGCGCCTTTCCTTGGCCCCTTGTCCCGACTTCGCATCCTCGTTTCCACGTCAATGTCTCACTACCTGTCGTCCAAGACAACCACCAACGCAGTTCTATCGAATCGAATCCCGCCCTATTCTATCCTGTCCTATCCTATCCTATCTTCCCATATCTTATTTGATCTTATTTTATCTTATCCTATCCTATCCTATTTTACTTGATATCCAAAATAGCGACTTAGTGATCGAACAGCCTCGCTCGAGATCGCCTCATCCGCGACGTCTATGACGTAATCCTCTCTGCCGTGCGATGGTAGTTCAGCCGTCCTGTGTCCTCATTCGACGAACCTGCGTTTCACTCCCTGTCTCTCTTCGATCTCCCTCCCTCTCTTCTTAATGAACCATACGGAGGGTGATGACGGAAGGTGGTCGCGGAAAGAATGCCAGGGACGGGCAGAGAGAGAAATAACCGGGATCGGGACGGGAGAAACACACAGTTTCCATGTCGACCGTCGGCCTAAGATATTCTGCACGCTCTCTTGCATTCAAAATGTATCATGTTCCACGTCCGCACCTCCGTCGTCCGTCTCTTCGTCCCTCACCCCATAATCATCGTCACCATTCTCTCTCTCTCTCTCTCTCTCTCTCTCTCTCTCTCTCTACAACACACACAGACACGCGCGCGCGCGCGAGCAAGCAAATGGAGAAAGGTCGATTAAAAGAAGGGGTGCATTTCCCTCTTTACCTCCATCCCGACGAACGGTACTAACATCAACAACAGACAGTAAAGACGTCGAAGCTTCACGTCACAACGATGCTCCCTAACCCCTTTTGCTTCAGAACTTGGCAAAGCCGCACTGATTGTGTTAATTAATAACTGTCATCACGCAGATCGACCAATGGTCGTGCCGTATGTTGCGCTGAATTACTTGATAGAGCATCGTGATCGTAGATTGAAAATCAAAGAGGGATTGAAGAGCTGACCAATAGGTAGAACGAACTCGACCGCGGAACCGACTCACACGACGAGCTTGCCCGATGAATCGCCCTCGACCGACCACAGTTCGAGTCCGAATGCGTTCTACGGGAAATGCCCGACGACTTTGCCCCAGATAATACGCGGACGCGCAAAGTATGTGTTACACCACATTGTCCCACCGAGCTGACTGGAGTTGGCGCGCAGTGTTCCGCCGGACATGCGCCGTGAGTGCGTCGAATCGAGGCCTATAGACAAGGAGAAAGGAAATCGAGATCCAAAACCGCTGTACCTGATCAGCAAGAAAGAGAAACGGGGAGGGGAAGGAGGAGGGAGAAAAGGGGAGGGGGGGGGGGGGGGGGGAGGTCCCGAAAAAAAAAAAAAAAAAAGAAAGAGGGGGGGGGGGGGGGGGGGGGGGGGGAGGGAATATAAACCAAGAGAAAAAAGGAAAAATAAGGGGTGAGGGGGAGAGAGAGGCACGGAGAAGGAGAGACCAGAGGGAGTCAAGAAGGAGTGACCAGAGGCAGTCAATTATAATGACAGATTGAAAAAAGAAGAGAAAAAAAACACCACTCCACGAACAACGAGGTCAGCTTGTACACGACGAGGGGAAGCAAAACCATGGACTAGAAGGTGCGGGGAAAACGAAAGAAAACTCTCTCTCTCTCTCTCTCTCTCTCTCTCTCTCTCTCTCTCTCTCTCTCTCTCTCTCACACACACACACACACACACACACACATACACACAC